TGAAAACAGAATGACAAGTATTTCGAAAAATTATCTGTTTTTATCGTTATCAGTTAAGAGACCGCCTTCCTCAACTGACCTCTCGTTATCATTAAAGAGATAAGAAAGTTGATATATATTTCTCAATAAGTAGTCTACCTATTTTTTTCATTGTCTCTGTATTTTGTCTATCTTTTTCTCTCTCACGTTCTCTCTCGTTTGGTATCAGTTTCTGTGACTGTAGTTCAACCTATTTTCACATTGCACATAAGAATATTTTTAGCATTAGAAGCCAGGATCAGAGTTTCAGTTTTCTTTCAACTTTACTGAACCTACGAGTACGTTCTTATATGAAATAAAGATATTCATTTGTATGCAGAATACGGGTACATTCTTATATACAATATGCGTACGTTTATGTATATGATTGGATACTTTCTTAAATGCAATATGAAAACATTATTATGTACAATATATATGCAGTACAATAAGAATACATTCTTATATAAAATGTATTTACATTCTTATACATAATGTACATACATTGTGTTGGAGAATGTACATTATTATACACTCTTATTCTTATATATATATATATATATATATATATATATATATATATATATATATATATATATATATATATATATATCATTATCTACAATACAAATGCATTCCCATAACCATTGTAATAATGCAACAGTACTTTAACTTTTCGACTTTCTTCTTCAGGTGAACTTTTCTCGGCCAACGTTCGTGAAGCAGCCAGTAGTTTGAGTACAATGACAAATTGGACAATGGCCTTTATTGTCACGTACTTTTTTGAGAGTATCCAGGTGCGTTCCCGTTTTCTTTGGTACAATTTGAATGGTGGTGATATTTTGGTATTGGTGATAATAACTATTTTTCTTGTTATATGTCTCCTACCATTTTTTTAACAATAATTACCCTCCGTGTTCACAGCCATCTCTTTATCTTTAAATCCTTTTCGTATGACAAAATACTTAATCCAGCTCTTCCTCTTCCTCTTTCTCCTCCAGGATGCCATCCACGAATACGGCGTGTACTGGCTCTTCGGTGGCGTCTGCGCCGTCAACTTGGTCTTCTGCGTCCTGGTGGTGCCGGAGACGAAGGGAAAGACCCTGCAGGAGATCACGGCGTTCTTTGGGGGACCTGCCACGTCCCCAACGCCCGCCAGACCTTCATCGTCTTCGTCAGTGTCCGAGAAACAGAGATGGTAGAGCTTCATCGAAGAAAAGTTTGGTAATTGGATGGCTACAAAAAAGGGTCTACTAGTCAAAGATGGTTGAAGGATCTGCTCGTGATGGATCGTTGGAGGATCTTCTGGTCATGGAATGCTCAAGGATCTTCAAGAGTCCGAAAACAGATCCCTGGGTCCGAAGGCCATCGCCGAGACGTGAGATGGAAGAGTCCTTGGGAAACGGAAGGCATTTGGAAGCGTTTTTTTTCCCCAAGCATGAAAAGCACGGATGGAATGGCCTTTCAAGATCAACAGGAAATCGATCAACTTTTGACATTTCTTCCCTTGTTTCATAGCAAATAAATGAAATCAATCCTCTACAATACGAAAGCCAAAGATCCAGCAAATACCAGCAGTGTGGCTTTGGCAAAGAGAGGAGAGGAGAGTGCATGAAGACCATATCCTAAACGACCCATGTTTTCTGTCAAAGTCTAACTGCTAGCAACACTAGTTTTGATTTATGAATGGAATATAGATATCTAAATGCTATTAAACCAATGTGTTATGCATGGAATGAACAAGGTATTGCAATATAGAGAAATATAATATTATTAACATATATCGCCCTGTTCACTATGCAGGCAATTCTAGGCGACTGATACTTTAACCTTCACCATTTTCTATACCATACATCACATCACTTCATCTGTAATACATCTTACCTTATTCATATTTATGTACCTATTCTCCCCACCACTTTTTTTTTTCTTTAATTGCCTACGTCCACGCTGAAACTTCACAAATTCATTATCCACAAATGTCTCACCATTTTAGAGGTAGAAATTTTCTCCACTTGTGAATGTCTGTTAAGGAGGACAGCCGTTGTATTGACGCTCCCGTTTTCTGTTTTAGACGGCAAGAGATGCTGACTGAGTTTCTTAGGTAGTTAAGTTGTGTAATAAATAATATTGTTGAATTGAACATTTTATTTCCTATAAAATATATTCAAGAAATATATATTAAAAAATGTATTTTAAAAAGAAATATAAAAAAATATCTTGTCTAGATATAGGAAACCGTATTTTGAATGAAATTACACCTAAATATCACAAACGAACAGAGCTCGACACAGAGTACTAAATTTTACCCTCCTACACCCTCAAAAATACAAAGAAAAAAATTATGTCAAATATCAAATAATGTGATCAGATAAAATAATCTTCATTTTAATCTAGAACAGTAGTCTTAGAGTAATTTCCAAAGGGGGTACGAGCCCTTGAGAAAAAGAAATTTCTATATTTATTATTCTGTTCATATTGT